AAAAAGCCCGAGTCTGCTGATCTGAGTTTAGCTCTAGGATTGTGGCAATACAGCTGTTTCGTCAAAGGTTGTCCCACAAAAGCGTAAAAGTGAATGCGCGACAATGCCGATTGGTATTGTGGGTAGTAATAGTTCGGCGTTGCTTGATTGAGGTTCACGTTGTTTCAGCAAGAATGAAGCGGAAAGCATGAATACACCTGCTTGTGCTGTTTCTTTTTATCACGCTGAAACAACTGAGGGCTTCAATCAAGCAACTGTAATATAAACATCAGGGTGTGTTTTGTTGCACACGCGGCTTGTTTCCTTGCGGGCTTTTAGAAAAATGATCAGGTCTCATCGAGACACATAGAGTTATTGCTTTTTGGATTTGCTTTTGTCACTACTTTGGGACTTTCGAAAGTGTTAATTAATGATAATTTTAAATTCCTCTTCCTTACAGATTCTGAGAAGAAATCAAATGCAATATTTCGACGCAGTTTGATCTCAATCGACAACAGATCTTTCACGTTAAAAGATGTCCGGAGTGAAATCACCAAACAGTTCAGTAAACTCAAGCCAGCATCACTGTGTCAGCCATTGGAGAAAGTTTGTGTCCCAGGTCCTCCCGGCAAGAAAGGAAGCAGAGGCCGTCAAGGAAGACAAGGACGGCAAGGTGCCAAGGGTAAAAAGGGAATGCAAGGCATCACGGGTTCGCCTGGTAGTCACGGCAAGCAAGGCATTATGGGAAATCAAGGGATAAAAGGAGAAAAAGGCGATAAAGGTGAATAATGGAACGAAAATCATGAAGCCTAAAAACCGAATTATACCGTTGGAATTGTCATTGTGAATAACTATTTTTGCTTGTCACAACAGTGTGACAATTCAGTGTTCGTCCGTCTTTTCTTTTCCTTCCTTCCTTTATACCTTCGTTTCTCTACTCCTATTTATTTAGTCAGTTACTTCTTTAATGTATCCCTCTGAGTTCCTTTCTGTACGTTTCTATTAAGCTGAATGTCTGAATATCAGGTCATCAAACAGTCGACGCTCCTAGAGAAGACAGGCAATTAGAAAAACAAATTAACGCTGAAGATAAGTTGCTTGACCATGTTGCTGTTCAGTAATTGATCACAGTCTAGAAAGCATAAATGTCCTTCTTTTCAGTAGTCTTCTCAGGAATTTAATTATCCATTTCAATGAAAATATTCCTCCAGAACTTTGGAAAAACGAGGAAACGTTGCATTTCGTAGACCAACTTCAGCCACTGTACACTAATAGCTGATCGTGTATGATCACTCAGCCAATCAGATTGCAGGATTTGAATAGTGTCCAAGTAGAATTCTACTAATACTGAACAGGCGTACAGCGTCCTCTATGCGTCTATCCTCCAATTGATCATGCGCGAGGACCAATCAAAATGCGAGAATAATTTGACATGCATGTGATATAATAAACAGGTGATGCCGGACCGAGAGGGATGATGGGATTGAAGGGAGATCCCGGCAAATCAATTTCATCTCCAGTGGTGACTGCTTCGCCCAACACTCGAACGGTCACTGAAAACCAAGCTGCCACATTTTACTGCTCGGCCAGCGGTAATCCGGGACCAGCAGTGAACTGGTACAAAGTTAGTGGTTCTCTTGATAAAGGACGAGTGAAGATAAACGAAAATGGAGGGAGACTGGAGATAAAACGCACGACCCACAGTGACTCAGGGCAATACATGTGTACAGCAGTCAGCATTCTGGGAAGAGATAGCAAAAACGTGACCCTTGTAGTCGAAGGTGGGTGGATTGCGGTGTCGTCTTTATGTTTCTAAATACAAATACAGTTGTTGGCTTTTTGCTTTAGATCGTAGTGCTAAGGAAAAAAATTAAAAGAAAATGTTGAATGTTTACAGTGGTTAATGTACTTAGCTACAACAAGCTAGTTCTCAGGTATCAGTGCCACTTAACTGAAAGAAAGAAACATTTCAATTAAACATGGTAAGCTTAAAAATCTCAACTGGTAGGAGGCAGACCAGTTGGCTATTTACAAACATGACTGACGAGTTGAGCTATGGTCTACCGAGAAACAACTCCAGGGAAGAGGTCAGAGCGGGACTTGAAACCGCAACGTTGAGATTTCAAGTCCAGCGCCCTAACCACTCAGTCACGCTGCCTCCCTGAAGGAAATCTAAAGATGTCATTCTGCGACTTCAGAAGCAATTAACACTCCAGTTTATAATAAATCCCTCGATCGAAAAAGAAACACAATCCAAAAAACCCAACAGAGAGAAAATGATATGATTATTTTTGGTACAACGAACAATTACCAATCTCAGTTAATTTTGCTTTATTTCCAGTCGCTCCAAAGTTGACAGTGGTTCCTCGGCAGTTTTTGGTCTTCAAAGAAGGGACAATGGCAACGATTTCTTGTGAAGCGTTTAGTTACCCTCCCTCTATCATCGCATGGACACGCTCCTTAGCTGCTTTGCCAAAAGGAAGAAGTACTGTCAACAAAGGTTCTTTGAGAATTCGAGATTTTTCTGTTGAAGACACTGGATTGTACACGTGTACAGCTAGCAATAAAGTTGGCAAAGAGAGCGCTTCCACTACGTTAGGAATTCAAAGGAAACCAGGTACCAAGTCAGAGTAAACACCCGCATATAAGAACAAGTGGATTGAGAACATCAGGCTGAAAGTAATGGCCAATTAAGCACCATACATATGAGAACCAATTCAGCCTGATAAAAATATCTTCTTATATAAATAGAAAGAGGATGCCGGAATAAGAAAGCAACCATATTAAAGTACTATGGAGCAGTGGTACAGGGATTATAAATACATATGTATAGTCTCCGAAGTTATGTTAGTTATTTCTCTTCACGCCATGAGACGCATAAGGCTGTATAGTCTCGGAAACAGTTATTTTTTTTTTTATTTTCAGTTAAATGTGTAAACCAGAATTTCATTCACTGTTTTTGAAAAAAGAAATGTTCTCTTCCCCTGATGTTGAGCTACAGTTGTGCAAACCGGCTGTAACAAGTGTATGGCAACTCATTTAAGCACCTTTCTCACTTCTAGTGAATTCTTGCGAAGAGGTCATCCTCAAGTACTCAGCAAGAGCGTCTGGAGTGTATGAACTGACAGCAAATTTTTTCAGATATAGGGTGAGTATTTTAACAATGCGAAATTCGAAGCTATCAGTATTTCTCATTTGAAAGTAAATTGTTAATTGTTGGGGTAGCTCATGTCTTGTTCGTGTAGAATAGACCCCTGCACAACCCATCCGGTGGCGGATCTAGGGGAGGGGGCCCCAGGTCCTCCTTATTTTGGGTAAAAAAAAAAAGAAAAAATCACAGAAGGAAGAAAAGNTAGCTCAAGGTCTGGATCTGCCACTGCCATCCACCGCTTGTCTCTGCGTTGACTCGATATATATCTAGTTTCAGTTTCTACTAGTTTTCTGCAAAAATAAAATTCAGTGTTTTTTTTAGTGACTGAAAGAATGTTATGAACACCAATCTATTGTCGCATAGTCCGAAAGAACACGAACTAAAATCTGCAAGTTAAAATACCAGACTTTTAGGAGGGTGGTGACTTTTACTGCTAACGGGTATTAGTATCACCCAACTAGTGGCCTAATGCAAATCGTGCATTTTAATTGGCTACGCTAGTAATAGTCCTCGAGTAGATAAATAGTAAATATTTCTTCAACTTGCATTTCCTAACTTTATTATCGCCTTTTCTGTCCGACTAGTTGGGTGATACTAAAACAATAGGCCAATTCCGATATATTAAAATTCTAACTTGGCTCCGAAGCTTAGGGGAATAAAACAAAAGAAATTAATTATTCATCCTCATCCTCAATGCAATTTCTTTTGTTTTATTCCCCTAAGCCTCGGAGCCAAGTTAGAATTTTAATATATCGAAATTGGCCTATTGGACCCTTGCGGGCTACGGGTCTGATTGTTAAATAGTTTTAGTCTTAGCAATAGTCCAGGGGGGAAAGGTGCAAAGAGGTTAACCCTATGTGAAGCACCAACCCGTGAAACAAGGTCAGACCACAGCACCCGGGAACTACGTGCTCTACCCTTCTTGATCAGTGTGTGG